CATAATTACACAGTGCTCTATCTTTCTCCTGTGCCGACTTTATTCTAGGCTGCGTGTGTATAAGAAGCATAATTTACCACCTCTGGCAAGAATAAAGATACCTTTGATATATTCTCCATTTCTCTTCGTTAAACTGTTACTACAAGTCTGGTTATGTCCTCAAGGGAGAGGTGAGAAAAGCCGTCTTTGCTCTGAGAAGTCCATTTCTCAGGGGGACATCAATACTCACATGGATCCTATTTACACTGTAATTGGCCACTGGCTGTCTGGTACAGCTGTTTCAGCTTAAAACCCAAGACAGTTGCTATGGAGATGGTTGACTAGAAATAGGTCAAGTTAAAGTCCTTTTCCCCCTGAATATAAGAGAGTGCTGTAACTCTGGAATTGTCTCAGTTGAATAGAAAATGTGTAGGTGGGCAGCCACATTAAAAAAAAAAATGTTCTCTTTGTAGGATGAGGCTTATCATAGACGCCAGTCCACTCTCAGGCAGGACACTGGAAGACTTGTCCTGTTAAAGCCAAGGAACTAGAGCTATCCTGATTTGCAGTATGACCCTGATTCGCTGGCTCATATGTGACTCTCAAAAGTTATTTTATTTCATAAGTTCCTAAACATAGTAGGATAGCATTTATTTTCAAGACACTAACCAGGAGTTTAAGAACAAGTTTTTAAAAACATAGAGTTAACAGTGACATTTGGAAAAGGAAGGCACCTGGTGACATTGGATGGGATGTGCCATAAATTGGGCTGGGAAACATCCTGGCTTTCCTAAGGGCTGATTCCCAGGATGAATGATGTCCTACCTCTGATCGCATCAGTCCTCTTGTGGGGTGACTTTGATTACCTATTTTTTTTTTTTTTCATCATGTGTCAGATGGGGAAATAGTTCCTGACTGGTTGTCTGATCATTACAGTGGGGACTTATGGTCTTCTTCACAGACAGGCATGTGGTATACAGGTCCCAAAGCTTTGTCTGGTTTAGTGTTTGGTGAATGTGGATTCCTCTGGCATCTGCTACACCCCTCACACCCTTCCCCTGTCCCACTCTGTGGTGCTGCTTAGTTTATGTGTAGTTAGTTATGTGTAGTTATGTGGTGGGTTAGTTTATGTGTAGATGGTTCTCACGTCATGATTGTGATGGAAGATGACAACTATACACTCTTCTTGACAATTCTTTGGAAATGACAGATGTTCTAATACTTTTCTCAGCCTATCTTTCTTCCGAAAAGGGTGAGCCAAGGGTTGACTGGGGCCCATGCTGAAGAAGTATTAGGGGACAGATTTTCACTGATTAGAATGTATGTTCTTTGAAAGTTCTAAGAGAATATTGCAACATGCAATAACATAAATAAATAATAGTAATATTCTTATTTTGTGCCAGGTACTGTTCTAAGCTCTTTATGTGTATTTCCTTATTTAATCCTCACAACAACTCAGGGAGGTAGAGAGAAGTGTTAGTGTCCCATTTTTTACAGATGAGGAAACAGACCTAGAAAGGTTAACTAAGAAGCCCAAGATCATGCAGCTTGTAAAAGGTGGTACTGTTTTTCAGGCTCAGGTAGCCTGGTTCTAGGCTTGGATGTGCTTACCACTATGCCTCTATGAACTATATATTAACATTTAAGAAAGACGGTCTTTTTTTTTCCTGATTATCATAGTGCAGTGGTTATTCTGCATTTGGCAATGTCTGGAGACACTTTTGGCTGCTGCAGTTAGGTGGGGGATGGTGCTACTGGCGTCTACTGGGAAGAGGTCAGGGATGCTACTAAACATTGTACAGTGCACAAGACAGCCCCTTGAGACAGGGAATTATTTGGCCTAATATGTCAGTAGTTATGAAGATGAGAACTCTTATTATACTAATATACGGTCAATCTTAAAAAGTATATTACTCCCCTAGTCTTGACTCCTGTAAGTGCAAGTATATTCTTCCAAGCTTTTTCCTTCTGAGTATACTACCATACATTCATGTGCATATATTTTACAGAACCAGAATCAAATACATATTCTATTCTATAGGTTATCTTCATTACATATTATATACATTATTTCCACTTTGGAGTGTCTTTTGATAACTGTATAGTATTCCTTTGGAAGGAGGGATGCCAAGGATGGGTTATTTTGTAATTTTTAATTAGAAATAATATTATAATACTGTAGATATATCTTTTGCATACTTACTTCAGGTCTTAATATCTTGGAGAGAAACTAGGTTGTGGCCTTTGGACAAGGACAGTGTTACTGCGGTGTGTCCCCCCCCCCCCCCCGCCCCTGATCTCGAGCCAGTCTGTTTGTCCTGTCTCACTACACACATCACTGAGATTGTTGATCATTGTGTAGCCCCATAACTTCAAGTCATGTAAGCTGGTGGTCTGTTTGGGATGGGTTGTTAAGATCATGTGAAAGATTTCAGAAAAGAGGAATCCTGGGAGAAATGAAAGCAGATATCTAAAATGAGAGAACGTGTGTATGTGTAGTGGGGAGGAAACTGAGCTAGAACTATAGCACTAGCATGTGTAAGGTGGTACCTACACCCACCACTTGGAGTTTTGTAGACATTTTTGAAGGAAGATGAAGTGACTAGCTCCGTATTTTGTTCCCAACTTTGTGCAATTAACCATGTAAGATAAATATGTAAAATAAATAATTTAAACACTATCAATATACTGTCTTAAATCATACTCTATGGATTCCCGGGAGTTGAAGATCTCTTTTAGGAATCAGACTCAGTGGCTGGCAGATAGTGAGTACTCAGCAAATATTTGTAACCAGAGTGAATTGAGGGGAAGAGGAGAGGAAAAGGGAGGGCGCTGGAGCAGCCCCACCGGGGTCTGCTTTACATCATCCAGCTCCATGTAAGGTCCCCCCTGAAGAAGGGGTAGGAAATCTTGGAACACATGGGCCATTAAAGTTCGTGTTTGGCCGTCTTCACTACAACTGTTCCTATGCAGACCCTGTGATTCAGCATTTCTACTCCATGGTGTACAGTCAACAGAAATGCATGTTTATACTTGCTAAAAGTCATGAGCTCCTAAGGATGTTCATGGAAGTAAGCACTATTTGTCATAGCCCCAAACTGGAACACACCCAAATGCCCATTAGTAGTAGAAGAGATTGATAAATCAGTTTTTTTTTTTTTTAATTGCTACTGATGAAATGTTTCAAAACACAAAGTGTATAAGAAAAACAGGCATTCTACTTTCTACCACCCGGATTTAACAAAGGTTAACATTTTGCCATATTTGTCTTTAGTTCTTTTATTATTTTAAGACATAGAACCTTCTGGTGGCCCATCTGATAAGTGTTGGGGTGGGTTGGGGTTGGGTGAGCGATCTGAAGATACTGAAACACAAGAGTGAGATAACCTGGGCTTTCTATGCACATTTTCCCTTGGCATGGAATGAATTACCTGTCACTGGGCCCTAAACATCCCGCAGTCTAGTCAGTGAGAAAATCCCCGGATGAAATAGAAATAAGCTGTGCCTTTTTCCTCTCTTGGACTCTGAAAAATAGAACACCTTGCAGTGGTGTCCTTAAGGACATTATGCCTCTTTTCGTTGAACTATAAGAGAATTTGTTTTTTTCCCATCAGATTGTGATTGGAATACCATGAATGTTTTGATTGTACTGATGTGAAGAAAAGAACAAGAATAGAGTTTGGTGTTTTCAGTGATTGCTGTAATTGTTAGCAGGAACACCATCCCCCTTTTCTTCCACTCAACCCAGCTCATCAGGATGCAAATGATTGACAGTAGCATTGTCATGGGGATAACCTTGAGTCTATTGTAGTAGATATTACAAGAGTCATTTGCAAATTTCTGTTCTTTAGTTAGTATCAGCTACAGCGATGATGAAGATTTTTTTATGGCTCTCCTGTCATGAAGCCATGGTTGAGAGTAGTTCTCTTTACTGTGTGCTTGCTAGTGCTAGGTATACTTGTCAGCCCTTCATGTGTATTTCTTCCTTATCATAACCCATGAGGTGGCTATTGTTACGATCTCCATCTAAACATGAGAAAACAGACCTGGGGAGGTTCAGTAGGTTGCCAAGGTTCACACCGTGAGTGATGTAAATCTTGTTTTGACTGGCTCCAAAGCCAAGTTCTTAACCAGTCACTAAATGAGGGCCACTTGCTCGTGTTATTTGGGTTACTAGAACTGTAAAGTAGGAGTTAAGGTCCTGGGAACATTTGGCTGAGCACTTCCCAGTCCTGTTGAATTCAACCTCTTCTGTAGTCTGAGGTAGGTGAGGCAGGAGTCCTGCTCCCATTTCACAGATGAGGACTCTCAGGAGCCAGACAAGCAGTGTACTTGCTCAGGGCTACACAGCTGATGTTGGGCTGGAAATTGAACGAGGGTCTTTTGAAAATACACTCCAGCTTTTTACCCTGTGCTTCAGCTTGATATCTGACCACCTTAGTTGATCTTTAGCCCAGCACCTAATTGTAAGGTTAACTCTGTTTCCCCATCTTTTAAATAGGAGCAGTACAGCCTGTCTCTCACTTCTTAGAGATTATAGTGGATTAGCTAGCACTGCGTGTTTTAAAAATTCTTGGAGGGGTGCCTGGGTGGCTCCGCTGGGGTTGATTGTCTCAGCTCCTGATTTCGGCCCAGATCGTGATGTGAGGGTCACGAGATTGAGCCCCATGTAGGGCTCTGCACTCATGGGGGAGTCTGCTGGAGATCCTTTCTCTCCCTTTCCCTCTCCCCTCCTCTGCTCTAAGATAAATAAATAAATCCTTAAAAAATAAAACTTCTTGGAGATACCATTTAAACATATATCTAGTCATTGTGGTGCTTTATGAAATGAAAGAATACTCTTTCATTGAAGATTTACTTACATATAAATCTTTATTTTTGATATTCTGGTAAAAGTATTTGTTTGGTAACTGAAATGGAAGTTGAAGATCATGAGATTTTTTTTTTTTTCCTGTACATACTGAGTCAGTGTTTTTCTAGGGTCATCATAGCTAACCTCAGCTTTTTTGGGTTGCTTTGAGGTTGCAGCTGCTCCCTGGTGGTTACCTGTTAAAGGCGCTAACTGGAGACACCCAGAAGGGCCTGACTCTACTGTTCTACGCAGGTGAGGCTGGTGGTTCTTTTCCCAGTGGACATGTTTAATTGCCAAATAGATTCCAAAGAGTGAGAATGACAAATTCTAATTGGTTGGTAGGAAAATAAAACAGCAGGAAATAACGTATGTGAAGACCCTAACTCACAGAAAGCTCTTACTAAGTGGCTTCTTCCTTCCTCATTTGGCCTGTCAAAGAGTTGCCGTTGCAGATTTTTTTCTCCCTTTGACAGGCCTATTACAAATCTCTTGACATATTTAATCTTTGCAACCTATTTGCTCTCTCTCATGAGCGGGTCACTATGAGGAAGAAGACGATCTGTCTTATGGATAAGTAGTTGTGTCTGGCCAGGTGGTCACTGTGGAAGCTCCAGCCTTGGGTATAGGATTCTTGTTATCTCCAGTCCTGGACTGACATAATTTGAAGTCACCATCTGACCGAAAAACCACAGAGCTGCAAGTCGGTCAGCAAGTCTCCAGGGTGGCAAGGAAATAATGATCTCAAACAAAAATAGAGTAGCAAGCACTTTAAGCCCCAGAGATGGAGAAAGGTTGGGTCAGGACTCAGCATCTCGACAGCCCAAGAAAACTGTTCTCCTAACCCACTTTTTCAGATGGGAGTTTTGAGCCTCTATTTTTGACAACATTGCTGGTTACTGCGCTCGCTGCCAGGGAGCCGAGTGAACGTGAGGTTCAGCTTTGGGGCTGTGGTCCCTTGACAAAGGACAGAAACCTTGCAAAGCCCAAGCTGGCAGCCTTTGTGGTGGCAACAGACTGTGAGACAGGCAGTCCTAGGATTCTTGGGTACCTCATGTCGACCAGGCCTCTTAGCTCCCAAGTGACATTTTCTTTCATGAATTTAATAGAAGAAAAAGCTGAGGCAGAAGGAAAACCCAGAGGGGAATGTATTTTATCCACTGACTGAGTCCATTTTCTTAGAAAAGTGCATCTCTGATCATTGCTGAAAACAGTTACTGACACATAACAGGTACTCAATAAACATTTGTTGAAAGAATAAATGAAAGTCATGGTGGAATTGCTCTAGGGAATTCGAAGATGTTTCAGGAATGGACTAGGAGCGTGTAGTCCGCTTGAAAAAGCATGAACAGCGAATTAAAGCTCTCTAGTGCTATGCGAATGTGTGTTTCCCCTTATTCTCAAATATTTCCCCAACGCTCCTTGTCTTTCTATGCGCTTAGAGAAAATAGTAATTTGGAATCTGCTAGCATGAGGCAAATATAGCCGGCTTATCTGCAGTAGAAAGGCACGAAGTTTAAAGCCAAGCAACCTGTGCAGAGGAGGGGGAGGAAGCAGGACTGGCCAGAGGGAGAAGCCAAGACTATAGTGCAGGTCCAAGACGTGCCCACTGATCCCTTAGGGGGCTTTGGGGTAAATAGGCTGGAGCTGTGGTGGGCCGAAATGGCTGGGCCTTTGTGTGCCGGCTGTGGTGGTCATTGGTGGTTCTGAGGTGGCTCTCCACAGCTGTGGAAAACCCTGAGGGAGCACTCCCAGCAGCTGGAGCAGCACTCCTTCCTGAAAGGGCGATGTGCGTGGTGCATCTCCACATCCACCGGACCAAGTGAGATTCTGTGGGGGTCCGGGCCTGCCCGCAAGTGAAGAAATGTGTTGAGTCTAGTTCCAAGGCCCACTTGAGCCTGGGATGTCAGAAACCTGCGGTGGAAGGTGACAGATGTGGCACAGCTGGGGCTTGAGTTGGGGACCAGGACTACCTCAGCGTCCCAGACTGAACTGAGGGGGATTCTGGGTGCTTTGCTAGAGCCGGTTCCTGTTTTCCTGTTACAGTCCATGCCCCTCCTCACTCTGCCTTTGCTCTTTCCCAGGCCTGATCATCCGGTCCTCCACGTCTCCTGGAATGATGCCGTTGCCTACTGCACGTGGGCAGGAAAGCGTCTGCCCACAGAAGCTGAGTGGGAATACAGCTGTCGAGGAGGCCTGCAAAATAGGTACTCGGAAGGTCTTATCTTGCCTAACTGTGTGTGGACCTTTTTCTAAATCTGGGGAACTTATTTTGGCTAGAAAGTTGATTTTAAACAAAAATAACAGCTTTTTCTTCCTAGGCTTTCTTCATCTCCGTGGACTTACTTAGGAGACACTGATGCGTGGGTCACCCAGTGTCTGGTGAAGCGGGCTCCCTGCAGCCCCAAAGTGCTCCCCGCATTCAGCCCCTCTGTTCTTACATAGTCCTTCTCAGAGCCATTTGGCAGGCTGCCTTGCTTTTAGGATTTTCTTATTTTAGACATCTCCTGAAGCAGTGGTATTTCTCTGCTTCTAGAGCCATGAGACAGAAAATTCATGTTTGGGTCACATCTTCTAGGAAAGGCTCCTTAAAATAGCAGAGGCTTTATAAAAAAGTGTGGTGTGATGCTGGCTGATTGTGCTACCATATAAGTCCAGAATGATGCCTACTTTCCCAGCCTTCGATAAGTCCTTCTCTTAGTTACGTGATTTATTTCAGGCCTCTTGAGTACTCGGGAAACACGGAGCTTGTTGTGAATTTGATACAAGCTAGTTGTGCGGAAGTTAAAAAAAAAAAAGTCCTGGTTAAAAGCTTTGTTTGTTTATATATTTGAAATGTGAACACAGCTCACTGAGAACAAGTGAGCAATGCTCTCTCTTTCTGTGCATTCCTTCTCTTGACTTTAATCCAGAGGCCTGTGCCTGTTTGACAGGTTGATGCCTGTGTCTCTTCTGACAGACTTTTCCCCTGGGGCAACAAACTGCAGCCGAAAGGCCAGCATTATGCCAACATTTGGCAGGGCGAGTTTCCTGTGACCAACACCGGGGAGGACGGCTTCCGAGGAACTGCCCCTGTGAGTAGCGAGACTTGGGAAGGGGGAAGGCATGGCTCCCGCCCTGACCAGTCTGCTGCCCTCTTCGTGCGTTCATCCCCTCGTGCACGTGGCAGCTCCTACTGATTAGTCACATGTTCTTTTTATAACCCAGTTTTCTTTCTGATTCCGTCATACTTATAGAAACTTTGGAAAACAGGAAGAGTACAAAAGGGAAAATTAAAAGGACCTGGAATTTTGCCACCCCCCCCCGCCCAAGAGATCACCCCTGTTAGCATTTTGGTACCTTTCCTCCCACTCTTTTCTGTGTTCACAATGCTAATAACAGTCGTTAGTGGGTGCTTGCGTGTGCCAGGCCTGGTGGTAAGCCGCTTGTGTGACTCATCTCACTTAATGTGAATTTAGCTCTGTAAGGTAGGTGCCATTTACTTTACCCTCATTTTCCAGGTGAGCACTAACCTGCCCAAGGTTACACGGCTGAAAAGCAGCACAACTGGGATTTGAACTGGGTCAGTTTGTTTCCAGGGCGCATGCTCTTAACTCCCATATGTGAAATGTATAAATACATATACATGTATATGCATATACACACACACATATATATGGAATGTATAAATATATATGTATATATACACACATATACATGTATATACGTACATTTTTTTTGCAGCTACATATTTTTTACATGTTGCTTCAGGGTCACGCTGAATGCAATACTTAAAATCCTGTTTTTCCCTGCTTAATATCAGGAATATTATATCTGTCATTAACAGTTTTTCACAAATATATTGTCTTTTAATAGATGGATAACCTGTCATTTGAATGAGTCCTAATTTATTTGCCTCTTATTAAAAAGTCACGCATTTAGGTTTTATCTGTTGGGGTGTTTTTACAGGGTTTTTTTGTTTGTTTTATTTTTTTGTTTTTTTGCTAAACAATATTGCATCTTGTACATTAATATTAAATTGTATCTCTGATGATTTGCTTAAGATGGATTCCCAGCAATGAAATTAATGAGTCAAAAACTAGAAAACTTTCTTGGTAAAGGTTTTAGAGATATACTGTTTTCCAGAGTGCATATGTGGCTTGTTTCCTTCCACAAGTGTATGAGAGTTCCTTTCATTGCTCTTCTGCTGGCAAAATCATACACTAATGAAGCAGTGTTAAAAACATGTTGTTTTCTCTTAATAGTGAGAAAAGAAATCTTGCGGTGGGTAAATAGCACCTTACTGGGTTTGTTGTTACAGAGAATAATTTTTTTTTTCAACACTCTTTCAAACAGCTGTCATTATTTTTTCATATTTGTATTTTTGTTTCACACAAAAATAATTTTTCCAAAATTTACTTATAAATGTAACACAAGGGCATCTGGGTGGCTCAGTCGTTGAGCATCTGCCTTCGGCTCAGGTCATGATCCTAGGGTCTGGGATCGAACCCCGCATCGGGCTCCCTGCTCGGCGGGAAGCCTGCTTCTCCCTCTCCCACTCCCCCTGCTTGTGTTCCCTCTCTTGCTGTGTCTCTCTCTGTCAAATAAATAAATAAAATCTTAAAAAAAAAAAAAAGTAACCCAGATACATTATTTGGAAGATGGCCAAATGACTCTAAAACTTTGGCTGAAATAATAAAGTAGTGAGAGAGAAAGACCAAGACATTTTTGAAAAGATGAAGAATGAGGAGACACTTGACCTAGCAGAAATCTAAAAATGTTTTGAGCTATAGTAGTTAAAGCATTATAGTTTCATTTTTTGGCAATTAATGTAAATAATATATTGCACGAGAATAGGTATCCTTCCAATGGGTAGAGGGGTGCATATGTGTGCATATGAAACTCCATATGTATGTGTTAAGCATGTGATAAAAGAACCAATACAAACCAATGGGAAATGATGCACTACCCAATGGAGTCAAAGACTAATCATTTGATCTCAAAGTTGGTTCCTCCAGAGTTTCCTTCCCAATAGCTGGTACTTTTGCAAGCACATAGTTGTATTCCGCAAAATGAGTGATTCGAGGTCTCAGGGACTAAAGGAGCTTCACCCTTTCTCAGACTTTACATGGGTGAGAAGCCCAGTCAGTGCCTCATGAGCCACTTTTGGTCAGCAGAACTGGCCCTGCAGGATGAACAGAATATCAGTTATGGTGCTCGGTGCGGATGCTCATGAGACCCCCCGAAAGCTGTTGGTAGATGCAGCAGGACTGTGGCCATTGAAGTGTTCCACACTGGTAAGGAGTGTGCAGCAACTCACCTGAACGTGGATGGCACAGAGTGTCAGGCCCATACCCGGCCTTCTTTTGCAGTGAACACACAAGAGATACTGGCATGATAGGGGCTCAGCAGCCTCGATTTCCTTCCTGGATGCTAGGCTGTTGGAAGGAGGGCCACTACAGCAAGCCTTGAATCCTAAGGTGTGGGCTTCTGATATACCAAATTATATAAGCACCTGTCAGTTTTAGTAAAGGGCCATGAGAAGGCTGGATTGGACAGTATCAATATTTTACAGTGCTTACTCCTATAGAATTTCATATTCTATTTAAGCACTTGAGCCTCCAAGGAAAATAGTCGTTTATCCTTAAGTCAGGGCCCCTTTTCAGAAAACACAGAGTTCCCTGTGAAATAAGGACATTTTATAGATGTTTAGTGTTGGAACATTTAACTGGGAGTGCAGCAGATGTCTGTATATTGGAATATATTCAACAGAACTTACCTGAAGAAGCTGCCGTGGAAGTTCCTAAGACAAAATTAGAACAGGTACCAGAGGCCCTCCCAGAACTAATTTGAGAAACATGACCTGGAGCGAAAGAAACAGCAGACCACAGAGGCAACTTCCACCTGTGTTTGACTGAGACATAACAAGATCTGTATCTTCAAAATGGGACTCAACAAAATGGGACTAAAATTCCCAGAGAATTATCTCACGTCCACCTTAGCTGCTCTGTGTCTACAAGCTCTGGTCATTTGAGGGAAGGAATTTCTTTTCAGTGATGGGGTGGATTGCAGTGAAACGGCATCCTCACCTGTATTTTATGTATGTTATTACTTCTGGTTTGGACTGAGCACACTATTCTGACCACAGTGAATCTAAAGAATTGGATTTTCATTTTGCTAAGCTGCTATTATACAACTATTAGTGTGTTTTGGTTTTAATGCATATCAGTTCATTCACTTGAAAATAAGTGGGTTTGAAATATTTCTCATACACGTTTGTTTTCTTTTGAATTTCCTGGAAGGAAACTTCGGTTGGTGCAATTAATTTAACAATGAGCAATTAATTTAAACAAGGTTTACTCTCCTTAATAGCATACTCACAGATTGTGATTTTGGGGTTGGTGACCTCCAGATTTTACTTCACTTAAACATCAGATTATTTAAAGGGGGAAGAAAACCCCAAACCTTTGAGTAGATATTATTATTTCCTCATCTTCATGGTTTAAAACCACCAGCTAGGTTAAGTTCCTTGTTCAATAGCTGCTAAGTGTGGGCACATAAAAAGGATCTCAGCCAGATGGACTGGACAGCCCCCTCAATTTGTGTGTTCTCTGAGCCCGAGAAATGATTCCTTCCTCCAGAATATTTGTTTCCTCTTTTAATTGCTCTCGGGCCCCTGGCTCCTTCGCTTCTCTTCCTGGAACAAATGAATTTCTTTTTCTTCCTATTCCTGCCAGCTATTATTCCACCTTGCTCTTTCTGATCATCTCCAAATTCTTGAAAGAACAGTTCATGCCTTCGGCCTCTCCGCCTTTACTGTCTCTCTGAATTTTGAACTCTGACCTTGATTCCAACGAGACACGTCTACCTTTGTAGAGAGGGTGAAGCCAGAAATCTTTGCAGCCAGAAATCCTGTCCTTCTTGAGAATTTCTGAGGCATTTTTTTCCAGTCACTTCCCTACTCAACCTAGAGTCTTACAGAATTGGATTTTCTGTTTGGGGTATATTCTTTTTTCTCCCTCAGTAAGCTCTTTGATGTCTTACATCATTGAACCCATCCTGCCTTCAGTTGACATGCATGGAATTACTGAATGAAGCAGTGAATAAGTACTGCTGTTTCCATAATGAGTGCTGAGTATGGAAGCAGAGTGGTAAAATTTTTTAGCATTCCAACTTATCCAGATGAAGTTCTTTTAAGGAGTAACTTCATAACTTGGAAGTGCTCTGAATTGTCTAAGTATGCTTCCATATTCATATGTCGACCTGAAACCTTCTGAAGCCAAATAAAAGTGAATTTTAGTTTATTCATTTCTTTAGTCCTACTTCATTAGTATGGGAAAAACATGAATTTACAAAAATATTTTTATTTTTATATCTTATTTTTTACAAAAAGATTTTTAAGAGGCGCCACGATGGCTTAGCAGGTTAAGCGTCTGCCTTCGACTCAGGTCTTGATCTCCCTCTGGTCCTGGGATTGAGCCCCTTCGGACTCCTTGCTCAGCAGGGTGTCTGCTCCTCCCCCTCCCTTTGACCCTCCCCCTGCTTGTGTTCTCTTTCAAATAAATAAAATCTTAAAAAAAAGATTTTTAGGTAACTTGATTTTTTTTAATGAAATTTTTGTTTATGTTTGAGAATTGCCATTGGAAAAACGTTGGGAAAAATTTTTAAGTTGAATACACACAGTAGCATAATTGTCTGTACTTACTGTTGCTCAATTAAAGTTTTTTTTCTTGTCCCTCTCCCCTCCCTCCTTCTTAAAAAAGCTTTATACTTTGGCTCTGTGTCTGTGACAATATTATGTGGCAGATTGTCTGACCTGCCTTTGAAATGTAATATAACTGCTTGCTGGCAAATCAGTACAGTTGGGCTCATACTTCCAGATTCTGGAGACTGACTGCAAACCTTCTCTTACAAATATGCTTGATAATGAATTCACATTTTCTTTAGAAAAACAAGTCCCCTCAGTGTTTTGATGATAAAGTCTGAGGCTTAAAGATAAGATAGTGAGTTGGAGTGGGCTGGTGGAGAGGACAGAAGTGGCTTAGCGGCTTTCAGTGCTAAAAGACACTATGTGGCCACATACCTTAGTTCTGATGACAAGACTTACACTGGGTCTAATATGATGTTTCTGTAATGCTTTTGAGGGTTGAAATGTCATCTATCCCCCTCCCCCCATCAGATACAGATTCAGCTTATGGTCATTATTAGTCTCTATTAGGAATAGTTTTGTTGGCTCTCCTACCATGTAATACAAACTCTCCTTAGGTTTCTAAACTCCCCTTGAGGACTCAAAGCCGAAAATGGTCTCTTTCTTGGTTTTCACATTGGCCAAATTGCATTTTGACTGTCGGGATGAAAATCAATATTCGTACTTTGAAGTTATAGCTCTTTTAGTGCATTTCTGCAGCAAAGATCTTTTCTAAACTTTGAGTAGTTTGACAGCATTTTCCCTTTTCTTAATTTTTAGGTTGACGCCTTTCCTCCTAATGGTTATGGCTTATACAATATAGTAGGGAACGCGTGGGAATGGACTTCAGACTGGTGGACCGTTCACCATTCTGTTGAAAAAACGCTTAACCCAGTAAGTATCATTCTCAGACTATGTATCGTGAGAAGGTTACATCCATCCCTGTGGCAGCCTGTGGCAAGAATTTCATGTGTTTCTGGGGAGTATTTGTATGCTCTTGAAATTCATCTTGGAATTTCCCCCAAAGGGATATTAATATTAAACACATGTCTCTTATTTCAAGCTTAAAGCATTGTGCAGAAATGTCTATGAGCGTTTTATGTGCTGCTGAATTGCAACGGTGATAATTATTTGAGGGAATCTGTCTATAACTTTAGAAATTATATTCAGTATCACAAATTTGATCAGAGTGAGATACCTAAATATGCAAAATTCATTAATGTTTTTAGTAATAACTAGTGAGATCTGCTAGATGGTATTTATCATGCAGCAAATTGCCTGAGTTTTGATTGGCTGAAATTTTGATTCAGGGGCATCATTTAGAGAAAATGAGAACGGGTATTTTCTGGTGAATGTTGAGTCAGGAAGTTGAGTCATTTAGTGATTATTTTCCGAACTCTGCAGTATGTCAGTTCAATGCATCCTATACCTTGGGAATTAAGACAACCATGTTTATCTAAGTTTTACTTACTCTGGTATAGGAAGAATGTTGAATACAACTAGTATTCTACTCTGCCCCTAAAACCAAGCCGTGCCATCAGAATATACAAAAATTGAGACACTACATGGGCATGTAGGTGGGAAGTACTTCCTTTAAAAAGAACGTGTCTGAATATTTTTTGTCGGGTGAACAGACTGGGGGGAGAGAACCATTTAAAAATCCTATCTCTAACAAGCTAGACATTCATAAGTCAGACCCAAGAATATATATTTATACCCAAACTAGCTAGACTGGGAACTTAATATGCTCAATTTTAATTTTTAACCTTTGGAAAAGGCACAAAGAGTCATGGTAAAGAAAATTAATTCTTTGATCTCTTCTCAATGGAGGGTTAAGCAGCTCGAGTAATTGAAGAAGTTGTCAGACTCTGTGCCTCAGGCCATTTTTCAGAATATGAGGATAAATTTGTTTGATATGCTTGATTTTTCTTCACAGAGTAACACGTGGGCTGTTCATGAATAATCTGGAGACATAAACCTACTTTCTTGGGTGCAGATGAAAAAGCTGAGTTCTTCAGAAACTGTCATCCCCCCCTCATTTCCCTCGTACTTTCTGGCAGGGCTGGTAGAAGTAGCGGTCAGAGACAACTCTTCTCTCCAAAATGAGAATAAGGTTGTGACGTTCTCGGTAGGTTTGTGGTTGGGAGACGCCATTCTCTACTGGCTAAATGTGACTTGGCATTTACTGTCAGAATCAGAAATAGAATTTTCTTCTCCCCCCCCGTCAGATAAAAGCATCTGCATGTTTGGAAGGGGGTGCACAAGGCTTCAGAATTCTGGCAAGTTGTGAATGTATCTATCTGACCATCTGTTGTCGAGCTGCTTATTAGCTTTCCCTCTTAGAACTGCTTGTGTTTCTTCTAAGGATTTACAGAAAAATTCACATTTTTCTTCTTTTCCCCAGTCCCAGGCTCTATCTTAAATGTTGTCCTTGCTTTATGAATTGTTCTCATTTTAGATCTCTCTGTGTCACACTGACCTTGTTTGCTTCCTGATTTGACTGGGATAAAATTCGTCTGTTTGGAGAACTAAATCCCAACTTCCTAGAAAACTCAGACTCCATCATTCAAATCTTTACAACTACCTACATTTCCATTGCCACTGGCATCTCCCATCCATGGGACGGCACCAGCCTCCCAGCTGGGCCCTTCTTCCCTCTTTCTGCCCTGGGCAGCCACAATGACCTCTACAGAGAACAAGTCTGATGCTGTCACTCCTCCATTTAAAACCCTTCAGTGGCTTCTTGGTGTCTAAAGAAGAAAGTACAGACTCTTGAACACAACTTCTGAAGGCTAACATAATGTAATCCTTGCTGATGTCTTTCTAGCCATACCTTCTACTTCTTTAAATGTTGAATTATAAAATTTAACAAAAATTCAGAAAAGCACAGAAAATAGTATAATAGATACCTACCATTTAGATTTAACATATATTAACAGTTTATTGTATTTACTCTATTTCTCTTAACCAGAGAAAAAGGACAGAAACTATTCTTCAAGTTCACACTGAGTATTGTTAAAATTTTTAATTTAAGCTATTCTAGTCAATGGATAACGCTATCTTACTGCGGGTTTTAGTCATTGTATGTTGAAGTCTGCATCTGATAACTCTGGTATCTGGCTACCCCGTTGACCTGCTTCTGTTGTTCTTGGTTTTGGGTCACATCTTCTTTCCTCACATGCCTGGCTATGTTTGAATGAGTACCACACAGTGTATGTGAAAGATTGTAGATATTATCGGGGGTCTGGATAGTGTGATCTTTCTCTAGAGAGGATTCATCTTTGCCTCTGGAAGCTTCTATTTCAGATGAGCTTACTCCAGTCAGGAATTTGGATGTTTTGAAGCTGAGCTTCAGTCCCTGTGAGGGCGATAGTTCTTCAGGATGCCAACCAAAAGTCAGGGGTTTTATTCTGGCTCTTCTTCCTTGAGGGGCCCTGAAGTCCAGTTTTTTTGTTTCCTTAGGCCATGAGTCTATTGAAAGTTCTGCTCAGCTTCTCAGCTGCTGCCGTTGTGAATCAACAAACCCCTAGGTGAAACTAAGTTAGGATGGGAAAGGCTCACACCCCTGGGCTTCCCTTTGCTCTGGAATTTGAGCCCTGCACTTCCTCACAGCTACAGTAGTTCTCACCTGGTTTGGTTAAAACTCCTGTTTCTCGCTGAGTTCTTAACTTACTTGCCCTCTTTCCCTAATGGTCTGTGTATCTCCAGTGCTGGGCAAAGAATGTGGTGCATAATAGTTGGTCCTATAACAAAGCCAGTTCCAGATACCTAGATTTGAGGGAGTTTGACCACTATTCATATTTCAGGTGTTTCAAAAGCAAAGGCTAGTTGGAAACAGAGATTTTCAGGGAGAGTTTTGAACCAAAATATCCATGTGATTAGTAAACATTTCGACTCAGGAACTGACCTCTTCAGTGTCATGCATATATGTTAGCTCCAAGACTAACTCATAATGGCAAATCATTTTAAAGCTTCTTTGGGGGAGATTAAGAAAAGTCAGGGCTCTGTATGCAAAGGCTAGTCAGGGAATATCTTTTTCTTCTTCAGTGACTTCCAGGGAGCAAAAGTTAATCATTAGTGCTTATTTTATTGGGCAGTCATTCATGGCAAAAGCAGGTGGTAGAAACATCTTGTGTGCTTTGTACACACAGTCCCGAGAGAAGCTGAGGTATTTGACCATATGAAGTGGGGGTTGGTTTAGTCTTAGCTGGTAGGAGGTTATGGGGAGGATACATGTGTGTGTGTGTCTCTGTGTGTGTGTGTGTGTCTTCTGTAGCTGTTTAAGATGGCATCACCCTTTTCCACACAGACACAATCCAGAGTGTGACCATTGCTGCTACCATTTCTTTTAACCAAATTTTTTAAAAAAAGGTCAGTATTTTTTTCCTCTTCAGTTACCTCACCCCAAATCCCCTATTAATCTGTGGCAGTATATAGTGCTTTCAGTAAAAGAATGTGTAGAGCTTCTGTAGCACCCTAACTTCCAACACCTGCATACTCACTCTCACTACCCACGTACCATGCTGACTTGCTTACTGATAATGGGAAAGGTTGGTGTGATCTTTCCCACTCTAACTCTGAGGTATATGGTTTCACTGGGGCAGCTTTTTTTCTAAGGGAAAGAACTCTGGGCTTGGAATTAGTCAGAGTAACTTGGATTATAGCTCTGCCACTTGATATTAAAGGAATCTCTCTAAACTTAGAATATCTTAACTTTCCTTATCTACAAATTGGTAATAATTGTATTTGTGAAATTAAATTTGATGATGTTGCATGTGAAAATATTTTATACCTTCAAAATATGGTTGTTTACTATTTTTGTGTAACCTATGTTTTAGCTACCTAATTGGGCTATTATATGGTTCTGTGAAGCAGAATTGATGAGGAATGTTGGTTTTGGGAAGCAGAAGGGAAGAAAGTGATATTTATAAATAATGAGTGCTTGATATTCCTCCTATTATTACCTTTGGTTGGCATATCACATAGTCATCCTTACAATGAAAAACTTGCTCTTGCTTTGTGGTTCATTCAAGTCCAGTGGGAATAAAGTTTTCCAAAAAGTATTCCTTCTTTGAATGAATCCTGGCTGCTTACCAAATTCTATTAGCCAGAGATTGAGTTTTGTTTTGTTTTTGTCAGTGTGGAATTTGATTGTTCAATTAGATTGTATAGCTCTAGACAGTTTTGGAACTGTGTTCTGTTTTGCAAGGCTGCTTTGTCACCGTATAGAATTGCCCAGGGAGGCCGTAAGCCCTCCTTGTCTGCAGAGTTTGTACTCGGCTGGTTTTGAATGACACTCTGAGCCCTTGCCCATCACACATGGCACATGCCTTCCCTCTGACCTGAGATGCACACGGACAGTGTACTGGCAGGTGCCAAACTGGTCAGTCCTGCTCAGATACTCCTTTTCCATTGGATGATGGCCCTTGAGACTTGGACTTACATTACTTTTATCTATCCTTTAAACTCCACACTTGATTGCTCCTTTTCCCAGTAACCCCTCCTCTGGCCTCCTGCCACTGCACAAATGAATGAATTTTGCGTAGCAAAAATGTTAGACTCCTGCTTAGCCTGTCTCCTCCTAGTCCTGCTCTGCCAATGGTGTGTGTCTCTCCTTGTTTCAGCCTGGCAAAAACCCGGTCAGTAGCACATCATTGTTCTTAGTTGAGCCTGCCACCCCCAGCGACTGCCCCCATAACAGCCGAATCAGTGCAGCAAGCAGTCACCGGGGACCCAGGTCCTGCTAGGAGGACCTGACTGAGGATTTTTACCTGCTCTAAGGACTTCATTCACATATTCTTAATGAGGATGTTTCAGGGGTATCTTCCAGAAATCAATTTGAAGGAGAAGTAACCTAGTGTTAAAAATGAAAAAAGCCTTAAAGTGTTAATGAAGTTGAGTTAAACTTGATGATAAATTAATATGGTTTACATTGTATTTAGTATGTGCCAAGAGGAAAGCAAGGTGATCAAAGTATCACCGTCTTGGGACTATGTTTAGGAAAAGAATTTTATCTTTTTCTCCCAAGTGGAAGATGGAAATTATCCACTGTCACTTTTCTTTGTGGTTCTGGAGCAAGGTTGATCATCCAACGACAACAACAAAACTGCTGAGAAATAGAAATAAGCTTGAATGTATATGGTGGAGATATTTAGATCCTGTAACTACATTTTCAAGCACATTATCTAAACACTTGCTTTTTGCTTGAAAAGAGTGAACGCTTATCTAGTTGCTATTTGGAAGATCGTAAAAACACTGTTTCTACTTTACAGTAAAATTACCTTTACAGCCTCATGTTACTATTGACTCTTCCTGAGCAAATAGAGCAGGACACTCAAATGTATTATGGCCTCCTCTCTCTGTTTGGAGCATCAGTGGCTCTTAAAGGTGGGAAGTGAACACCTCCAGCCTCTACCTCTGCAGAAATCCCTTCTTTGATACCCCTCACAGGCTGTGGACAGCCGCTGTAGCCCCTATGGCAACTTGTCGTGTTCTCAGATGTTCTCGTCGTTGGGAGGTTCTGCAGGCTAACCGAAGTATTCTCTCCTGCAGCTTCAGTTCATCTGCACTTGGTGAGAACACAGAACACATTTTCTGTCTTGTACATGAAAGCTTTCCAGATACCTGAAGATAGTCACAGCCCGTGCCTCTCCATCTTTCTCTTTCTAGATAAGCACTCCCAACCTTCAGGTGCACCTTGAATAACTTGGTTTCCAATCCAAGGCAACCTGGGTTACATTCCTCTGAATAACATGAGTCGGGGTGGGGGGGAAGGTCCCTTTTTCTAAATGGGCACCAGAACCATACTCAGCATTCTAGATGTTCCCCGATACATGCTAATCATCCTGGGGCAGTCCTTTTTCATCATTCTCTCTCATCAGATCTCCGACTATGTCAGCAGTTAAGAGGTGAGTCGGTGGAATCCAATAGAACTGGGTTTGAATTTTGTTGCTACAATTCTGGCTTAGCCGTGTATGTCACTGGGCAAGCCACTTAACTTCTCTGGGACTCGGTTTGCTTCTTTCTTAAGAGAGGATGATGAGTCTTACTTCAGAGAATTGTGAGGGACGGAGAGAATGTTTGTATCGCCCAGCACAATATTTGCTCATAGTAAGCCTATAATACATGGCAGCTTTAGTTTTAATCATTATTACTACTCTGGCACTATTATCGAGGCGAGGGCCCTCCTACTCTTACTGTGAGCAGTGCAGCAGCAACGGGCCCTAGAAAGCTTGTAGCCAAATAAAACTTCCCCCTTTCCCCCATATATATTGATGTTAGGCTTTGTCTCCCCAGATATTGTTGCCATACAGCTGTTTTTTACGTAACTTTCTTTAGTTTGAAGGGAAACCATTTTGAATTTTCTCTATGTTTATAGCTGTGTTTTGAAACTTCATGCAAAGCCTATCTCTTCTCTCCATCAAGTTCAGTTTTTTATGGGTTTCGGCCTTGAGAGACAGCCTATGGCAATCACTGTGACTGCCAGCACTGTCATTTATGATAGTAGCTTTCCCTTCCGGCTTCTTAGAATTGACAGATGTGGCTGTGTTTTTGTCGTTGATACACTGTGAACGGGGCGCTCAGCCCGCATTTACTGAGCACTTACTGTGTCCCAGGGTTGTCTTGGGGATGCAAAGATGCATGAGACAGGCCTGGTTGTTAAGAAGCCTAGAGGTTGGGTAGTGACCAGATTCATCAGGGGGCACTGTGGTAAGAATTGTTGCTGATGTGGTAGAAGTGGGAGCCTCTGTTCTCTGCTGGGTGGAGCTGGGAGGGCTTTTCTGAGGAGGTGCCCTTGGAAGAGACGGCAGCAGTCGGTGAGGTCACTATGCTAGGACCTCGACATCCGAACACAGGAAAGACAGGGTGCAGCTCTTTGAGGAATTCATGGTAAGCAGAGAAGGAGTTTTGTCTCTTCTTTCTCTGCTGCTTCCATTTTCTTGAAGTAAGTGCCCCACTACTGGGACCCTGAGCCGCAGCTGCCCCACGCTCACCCTTCAGTCCTGAAGCGTCATGCCCTTTCCGTGCTCAGAGTGAAAGTAAATATAGTGGGCGCCTGGGTGGCTTAGTTGGTTAAGCGACTGCCTTCGGCTCAGGTCATGATCCTGGAGTCCCGGGATTGAGTCCCGCATCGGGCTCCCTGCTCGGCCGGGAGTCTGCTAAAAAAAAAAAAAAAAAGAAAGTAAATATAGTGAGGTGTGTGTGTGCGTGTGTGTGTGTGTGCCTGTGTCTGTGTGTGCTTGTTTTTTTAGTTTTGCTAGGTGTATTTTTTCCCATCCTTATGGGAGCATTAGAGCTGTTTAAAGAATTTCTCTTACCTAACCAGCTAGGAGCTTTGGAGAATGACTTGTAAATTGTCTTTCTTAGCTTGGTATGCTCAGTAAAAGGGCTTTCATGAGCCATCTTTTTCACATTGTGTAGCACTCCTGGGAAGGAAAAGCCATGTGTTCTAAGATTGGGATGGCAGAAGGTCAGCATAATGGATTAGGGTTATAACAGAAGTGTTAAATGAAAAGAGTGAAGAGTTTACTACTGTGATTATTTGCCATCCTCAGTCAGGGTCTTCCTGCCGCACAGAGTAGCAGAACCATTGTTACATGATGAAAGCAGAGGTCAGTAGCCTGGATTTCCATCTGATATTGAACTTGAAAATGTCGTGGGGCCTTAGGTGAGTCATCTCACCCTTGTCTGGCTTATTGCTTCATCTATACATTTTGCTAAGGGTGTAGCAGGCGATTCCTAGGGCATAATAAATTTGGGCCACTGCCCTGGTGTCCGGTGCTGGCTTGGAGAGTAGATAATGGCTGATGAAGCAGCGGGCAGTAACATGGTTAAGAGGACTGGTTTAAAAATAATCCAGACCTGGGGCGCCTGGGTAGCTCAGTTGTTAAGCATCTGCCTTTGGCTCAGGTCATGATCCCAGGGTCCTGGGATCAAGCCCTGCATCGGGCTCCCTGCTCAGCGGGAACTCTGCTTCTCCCTCTCCCACTCCCTCTGCTTGTGTTCTCTCTCTCTCTCTGTGTCTCTCTCTGTCAAATAAATAAATAAAATCTTTAAAAATAAATAAATAAAATAAAAATGATCCAGACCTAAGTCCACATCATAGTTCTGCCACTTGATGGCATGGGGGACTTGTGGGAAGAGGATGACATCCTTCGATTCTGTTTCCTCATATATAAAATGGGAGTAACAATCACATTTAAGGACCTGGGTTGTTCTCAGGATTAAAAAGAGATTAGAGCAGTTAGCACCACGCCTGCCACATAGTGATTACTCTAGAACCACTTATTATTTTCCAGGTACCTCTCAGTTGGAACATTTCCTTTTTGAAAATACTTTCCCCTTCAGCACTTCCTTCTGTTTTTCACTGGACCATATTGAGTTCTTTTTCTTTCATTTATTTAGTACCCATTTAATGAACACGTGCTGTGTGCTAGGGGCAGGCATAAACATCATAGTTCTTGCCTACGGAGAATTTGAATTTCAAAATCCCTAATTATTGTCCCTTACTTCTATGGTAATAGCAAGTTTTTGCCCCACTGACCTTTGGGAAATCAGAACCAAAGCCCAGGTTTCGGCTTCCTCTCAAAGGTTGTTTATTCTTTCCATGTGCCTCTGTGTACTTCTGTGTCCTTTTTAGTGTAAGGCTACTTACCTGGAAAGGGCCAAGAAGAAAGGAGCGTGGTAGGGCTTGCAGATGCTCCCTTATTTATTTGGGTCCAAAGCCGAAAGACCAGGTCTGAGCAGCTTTTCTGGCCAGAGGAGGGGTACTTGCAAAATTCTAGGTGGAAGTAGGCCTACATAATGGGTCATTTGCAGAGGTTTTAATCTCCTGTCTCAGTGTGCTCTGCGGTATGAATTGACAGCCAGAAGCTTAGACGCTGCCTCCTCAGGACCAGCCCTTCTCAACCATACATGGCGTTCTGTCTGCCACTCTGTGGGCTTCTCGTCCCATCTTCTGCATACTCAGGCTCCCCTGGGCAGTTTTATTCTTGGTTTTACAATGACTCTCCCAATACTCTCCCCAGTATCTTAGCCCCTTATTTACGCTTAACATTTTCAGTCAAGGTCTCTATCTTATCATGCTTGGCAGTCACCAAAAGCTAATTTAACATGTGTATTTCCCAACACAGAGAATAATTCTTGTCTTTATAGTTTTTGACACACAACAGTCCATATTCATAAACCATTTTCCCACGGTACTTCTCAGTCATAGGTGGAATCATTACCACTTGTTTGGAAAGAAAAAGTGGGGTCTCTGTCAACTTGAAGATAGTTGCCCAAGCCCTTCCCCACATCAGCTTTCTAGATTATTAAAGTGTGTTTTGGGTTCCAAAAGAAGAGATAAACAGACATGGCATCCAGGTGTGATCACTCTGATTTTACCCCAGGCTGCCTAGTGCTTTTGTGAGGAGTCAAGTTAAAGTGCTTATTCTTTACATGTGTAGAGGTCCCCCCCACTTCAAAGTGCTTTCTCTCTCTTAGTCTCTCTCCCTTTATTGCTCATATCCTCAAAATATTCCTGCTTGTGCAAAAGGAGGCATGTGGTCTTAGACTCATTTCTTATGATAATTCATAGAGTGGAGAGAGGTGTTGACTTTGTCCTGATTTTGAATTTGATTTTCAGAGTCAGGATTAAATCCCAGGTCTTGTGATCTTGAGACTTGTACAGTGTTACCGGACTCCAGATGTTATTTGAAAAACAAAACACGAAAGGCTACTTACTTCCTTGTAGTATTTTATCACAAACTGCCTACATTAAGTCAGGAATTTCAGGAAGTGTTATAAATATGGAAGATAATTTAGGAGATGTGAATTGCTGTGTCATGCAGTGGCTTCTTCCAAAAGCAAGGGAGAGGCAGGGAATTATGCCTCTCGTTCCTTCCATCTTGAGATTTTAAATCAACTTTCTGTCCTTAACCTTCCTAATCTGTTATTTCCACTAAATTATTTTTAAAAATTACTGACTTGGCAAATCAGCCTTTGTACCTAAATTTGACTTGTTAATTAATTGTAAAAGTAATATAGTGTCATTTCCCATTTCTATAGCCTTACCTTTCATGACTCCCTATGCCATCGTGTGACTCATTTGTTCTTTCCCTAAGGATCTGGAAATAAAACCATGTTATTGAGAAGAGAAAAATAGAACAGTTAAGTCATCTTTTCTGCCAGGTTATTCTGGGAATTTTTTTCATGTGGATATGTAGACACATTTATAATATAGGCATATACATACCCACATGTGTGATTTCTATAAAAGTATATACTTTTATTCATTCAGGAAAATTTATTGGCAGCCCACTCAATGCCAGATTCAAATGTTGGGTTCTGGGGAATCCAGCAGACACAATTCCCTTGCCCTCATGGAGCTTGCAGATGTTAAAGAATCAAGCAAACTCACCTAATTACATACACATGTGTATGTACGGAAGAAGTATATAACATGATGGTTGAAAGCATGCATTTTTGGAGTTGGACCTGTTTTCCTAGCTTAGCCGGCTACATTAAGTCACTTAAACTCTCACTCAGCTTCCTCATTGGTTAAGGAAATAGTAGCACCCCTGTGGAGTTACTGAGAGGTTTTAGTAAGATAACGCAAAGAAAAATTTTAATGTAGTGGCTGGTATATAGTAAGCCCTTGACAAATCTAATTATGACCACTATGTTTCATGTGTAATGACAATTTAATTTCAGTAAGTTAGCAAGCTATGAACTGATACCTAACTCTGAAATCAGATCCATGGAAGACATTTGTTCTGGACCTTTTTAAAGATTTTATTTATTTATTTGAGACAGAGAGAATGAGAGAGACAGAGAGCACATGAGAGGGGGGAGGGTCAGAGGGAGAAGCAGACTCCCTGCCGAGCAGGGAGCCCGATGCGGGACTCGATCCAGGGACTCCAGGATCATGACCTGAGCCGAAGGCAGTCGCTTAACCAACTGAGCCACCCAGGCGCCCTGTTCTGGACCTTTTTAGGAATGTGGTAAGGAGATAAGCCATCTGGTAGCGTGCAGTTATAAATAATGCTTCTTTCTGTGGACAGTCTCTAGTTTATAGCCACTAAAGGAAGTACACACTGCTTCTAATGAGGCAACAGAACTTATGGAATTGGGCCCTTACCATTTGTCTACTTTCTAGATGTTGAAAATAAAATCATGGAAGTCTTCAAGTATTCTTTGAAAATAATGTTTATCTATAAATACCACTTGGCTCAAGCTAATTGCTTATACTGTCTTTGTAACTTGCTAATGAGTTGTCATTGAAGAACACAGAAGATTGTGAGAGTAAGAGAATGTGATAAATGAAATCCTTAAGAAGGCTACACTTTATTTTTCTCACTTCAAGCAGTGCTTAGGGCCGTATCTGACTTTGTAAGTAGGACTGAACAGTTTTATACCATTATTATGAGAGATGGAAGTGGTTGAGTATGGAGCAAACCTTTCAGCAAATGTAGTCTGTACCCTGTGATGTTGGTGGTTTGGCTAGTTGGCCCAGAAGTTACTTTCCTTGAGGATGATAGCACTATATACCCTGCATTGTTGAGGATGACGTGTACTTTAGAACTAATCCATTGGATAGACCATGAATGTTCTATTAGCATATTAAGCCTTCTGAAATTACAAAACCATCTGCATATTCCATAGAGCAGATGATGAGAAAGTTAATTCTTTGTTGCAGAGTTTCAGTAGGCTACTTACTTTCTCTTAATAGTTGCTTCTTCTATATTTATGTTGACTGGTTTTCATCCTAGATATTTCATGGTCTTTAACAATGGTGTTAAAAATTACCATTTATTTCCATAATTACTGTAGTCCATGCCTTTTCAACAGCTCATAAATACCTACCATTAATAGGTGAGAGTAGTAACCATTTTCTTAGCACCTTGCTGCTCTTTTCTCTTTCTCTCTCTCTGTGCTTCCTGCCAGGAAGTTGGATAGAGTGGCTCTAAGAATTGAGGCCCTTGGCCACCTCATACCCACTAGGATGGCTACTGTTTAAAAAACAGAAAATGATAAGTGGTGGTAAGGATGTGGAGAAATTGGAACTCAGCTCCAACTATTGTTGGGACTTGCTGTGGAAAACAACATAGGTTTCCTCAAAATATTGCAAATAGAACTATATGATCCAGCAGTCCCACTTTGGGATATACTCCCCCAGAGAACTGAGAGCAGGGTCTTGAAGAGATATTTGTACACCCATTTTCACAGCAGCATTATTTACCATAGCCAAAGGTGGAACTAACCTAAGTGCCCCCTGATGAATGGTTAATGGAAATATGGTACAAACATGCAATGAAATATTATTTGGCCATAAAAGGGAAGAAAATTCTGACACAGGCTATCACATGGATGAACCTTGAAGACATTATGCTAAGTGAAATAAGCCAGTCACAAAAAGATAAGTATTGTACGAGTCTGCTTAAATGAGGTACGTAGAACAGTCAGATTCATAGAGACAGAAAGAATGGCAGTTGTGCATTTAGCACTTGTGGTTGCCAAGCGAGAGCGGGGACTTAGTGTTTAATGGGTTGAGTTTCAGTTTTGCAGGCTGAAAAGAGTGCTAGATTTGGACGGTGGTGATGGTTGCACAACAGTTTGATTGCACTTAATGCCACCAAACTGTATGTAGTTGACGCTTGAACAACAGAGGGTTAGGGGCACTGACACCCTGCATAATCAAATATCCACGTACAACTTTTGGCTCTTCCATAAGGTAACTATTGATAGCCTGCTACTGACTGAAAGCCTCACCAATAACGTAAACAGTCGATTAACACACATTTTGTATATTATATATATTGTATACTGTATTTTTACAATAAAGTAAGCTAGAGAAAAGACAATGTTAATAAGTAAGAGAAAATACATTTACAGGACTACAGTGTATTTATCGAAAAAAAAATCCGTCTATGAGTGGATTTGTGCAGTTCAAAACCTTGTTGTTGAAGGATCAACTTGTACTTAAAAATGGATGAAATGGGGGGCTCCTGGGTGGCTCAGTTGTTAAGTGTCTGCCTTCGGCTCAGGTCATGGCCCCAGGGTCCTGGGATCGAGCCCCGCATCGGGGTCCTTGCTCAGCGGGAAGCCTGCTTCTCCCTCTCCTACTCCTGCTTGTGTTCCCTCTCTCGCTGTCTCTGTCTCTCTCTCTCTCCATCAAAATAAATAAATAAAATGTTAAAAAAAATGGATGAAATGGTAACTTTTATGTTATGTGTATTTCACAACAATTAAAAAAAAAAAAGTTCAGGTCCTTGAATAAGGCACCTGAAAGACAGTTGTGTTGCTTACCTCTCATCTTGGCAAGAATTGGAAAGAATCCCTGGAGTACAATCAAACTGTTGTGCAACCATCACCACCGTCCAAATCCAGCAAAGTGATTTGGGATGGGGAAACCTTAAGGTGCAAGGATCTGGGGATGTATCCACCAGCTCGTGCTGAATGGAGGTAAAGAAAGGACTTCGTAGGGTTTCTAGTGCAGCACCTGAATTTCACAAGGGAGGACACTCAAGCCAAGAGTAAAGTGACAGAACCAGGACTAGACGCTGGTTGCCCTGCCTTCCTCGCCTGTGTGTTGGCTCCCTGGTGATGCCTCCTGCCATGGCTCATCCTGTGGGATCTCCGCAGTTTTCTCACTGATACTTCCTGCTTGTAATGTGTCGTAAGCCCAGCACTTTTTCTTTCCAGAGTCAGTATCAGACACTACAGATCAAGGGCTCAGTCCCACAAGGCTGCTCTCATTTCAGATGCCTGCTCCAAATGAGATCACCACACTAGGCACACTTCTGCCCAGCAGATTACAGACTTGGGGGTTCTCCTGATCTCCCTTTCAGGCTGGGTAATTTACTACAACAATTCCAACTTCCCAGCACCTCCGATTGTTCAACTTGGTAGCTCTCTGAACCCTGTTGTTTAGAGGGTTTTTACAGATGTTTAATTAAGTAAGCATGATTGAGCAAATCATTGGCCATTGGTGACCAAAGTCCAGCCCCCCTCCCCTCCCTGGAGGTCAAGGGTGGTCCTGAAAGTTCCAAGCCCTGTAATGGCTTGGTCTTTCTGGCAGCCAGGCCCCATCCTGAAGGTAGCTACACACCTAACCCCTGTCCCTAATGAAACATCTCATTATCTTACAAAAGAAAGACAGTCATCACTCGGGACATCCCAAGGACTTTAGGAGCCTTCTACCAGGAACCAGGGACAAGGACCAAATGTTTATTTTTTATTATACCACAGCTAGGAAGAAAGGGATATACGAGGTAAGAGGAGAGATAGTGATGGTGGGTGGAGGGAGGGCATGATCTTTCAGCCCATCTGGTGAAGTGCCATCTGACAGAGACATTCACTGGAGCATTGAAGCAAACCTTGCAGTTGTCTGAGGGAAGATGCAGGAAGAACTCTAAGTGTAAGAAGACAGTGGTGTCACTGAGGAATTTGAGAAAAGGGATGATGTGAAACACACCAGTATCATGTTCCCTTAAAAAACATGTCCGCAAGCGGTCTTGTATATTCACACAAACACTTTCTACGTATCTGCCTGATGTTGTGGCTCATTGAGGTTTTATGGTGCCTATAGTAATGAAACTATTGAACTCCCTACTTATCACCATATTTCTGGGACATGATTTGTCCTTGGAAGTCTTTGAAAACCATTCCAACAATACACAAGGGAAGATGAGATTTTTACACAGCAGGTCTATGAAATGGAACAGTTGCTTCTATGGTATAAGGTTAAGACCCCCAAACCCAGTGCGGTTTGAGCCAGTGAAACCACTAAAGGCATCTGTGGTATCAATCTGAGTATGCATGTCCAAGTGGTAGGTGTTGCTGTGGATTGTTAATATGGGTTTATTCCTGGGTGAAATAAGCAGATATTCCATGCTGAGAGAAGTGATTAAGAGAAGCACATCTAACAAGGGGCATGTTTCAGCTGCATATCTAACAACAAATGAACGTCTTTGTTTTTTAAAAATATGAACTCCACACTCATTGTTCTCCTTGGGTTTTAGTCATTTTCGTGCAGTGAACTTGTGAAATACCGAGACGTTTGTGCGCTTCAAACTGAACAATGGAATGATATATTTTTAAAAAATCCGATACTGTGTCAGCTCACCAGGGGCACACGGCAGAGCAGTTGAGTATGAGCCTAGAGCCAGACGACTTGGGCTTGAACCCTGGCTTACTAGATATGTGACCTTGGACGGGCTGTTTAACCTCTCTGCTCCTTACGTCTCCATCTGTAAAATGAGGCTAATGATTGCGTGTCTAAACATTTGTGGTTTGTGGCTGTGCCTGGCACCATTGTTAATAGCGTTTTCCTTTTGTTCCCCCAATTATCTTTACTTGGACAATAAATTATGTGGTTGCCTTATCAATAATCAAACCTATATCAGAAGATCATTTTAAATATTACAAACATTAAAAGCAATACCTGCTTATAATATGTGCTCAGTTAAGTACTAGTTGCTATTATAAGCTGCTATACCTAGAATCAGTGTTTTAAATATCTGATTGTATGCATTACCCCAGAAGCAAGAATTGTTACTGTAGACCTTGGGCTATGAAGTGACTTTTTTTTTTTTACTGGAAAATGGAGAAATCACCACAAAGTGAGCAAATTTAGTACAGTTTTGAAAATTCTCTTCCATTTTAACCTAGCATGGGTGAAATGAGTAGCATGGAAGAAATGGCTGTTTTCATTCATTTTGCTAACAGGCCAATCACCACCCAGGGCATGCTGGTTTGACAGACACAACGCTGTGGGGGTTGTTAATTTGGTTTTTGTGTTTAATGTGCTGTTCTTTCCAGTCTGATCCCTAGTTTTCTTTCTTTGACCTTTCTTTGGACATCATGACTTTCCTCTCCTCATGCAATGTCTAAATAAAGCTAATTGCAGTCCCTTCTTCATAGGTCGTTGTGCTAGGGGATAAAGAAATTATACCTAACTGAAAAAGCTTTATTTGAAGTAATGGTTTCATCTACCTACGCTTAAAATCCTTTGACATGTTTGACATTGGGTAAAAAGAGTGAGTTAGTGGGATTTGACTTTTCTTCATACATGCATTTTGGGCAGAGTTGCTACTGAGCTTGGAGGACAGTCAAGCTGGGCAGACACAGAGGTGGGTCGGACCTCGACTCCTGGCCCTGTCACTTGCTGGCTGTGGGGCCTTGGGCGCTCCATGTATTTCATCCTCCTGAGTTTCAGTATTTCTCATGTTTAAAATGGGGATAAAGATACTTGCTGCTTCCCAAGCCTCCTGTGAGGCTCAAATGAGATGGTGAGTTAGCATGCTCTAACCTAATGTCGGCTGAGAGTTCCTTTCTTTAAAAATTGGTTGAGGTGATTGAGACTCCTTTTAGAAGATACATGAGCGAAGGCTTCAGGAAAAAAAGATAAACATGCTGCTCGTATTTGTTTCTGAGCTGCCTGTTGCGGCAGGTACTTGCTTATTTATCAGGGTGCTGCTTCAGCATGCGTGAAGTCCTTCAGATGGGTGGCTGGTTGATTGTCTTTTATCCTCAACTTCAGGCTGCTGGAACCATATCTGTGGGAGCCTGTGCGAACTGACAGCTTGAAGGCTCAACTAGAAGTCAAGTGTGCAAGAGAGCCTAGCTTTTAGACAACGAGGGAGAGGAGGATTTAGCTCTCAAAGGAACGTGCCCACTTCTCAGGCTTATAGAGTGGAGAATAAAATCTGTTCTTTTAAACTCCACATTCCCCTGCACTTAAGCTTCTAAGGAAGCCTTGGACTCCTAGCAGTTTAGGGCTCTGGAAGGCGTAGTATTTTTCTTCTTTTAGTTGATCCTGGTTTATGATTTTCTCTCCTTTAACTTAAAAATTGTTTTTATTATAGAAAATTTCAAATATGCAAAAGTCAAGAGAATAGTATATGATACCCCCATGTCCTTAGTACCTGGTTTTAATAATTATCAATTCATGTCTAATATTGTTTCATCTGTATTTCCACCCACTAATCCTTGCTCCCCTCCTCCTCTGGATTATTTGAAGAAATCCCACACCTTATATTTTATTAAGAATATAATTTTGTTTGTTTTTATTTTTAAAGAACAGCTTTACTGTAGTATAATTGCCATAAATTGCACAAAACTAAAGTGTACTAGTTGGTAAGTTTATACATTAGTGTGTATGTGTGTATGTGCACACACACAGATCAAAAAGTATATATACACACATATCCATGAAATCACCAGTCTAGATAGTAAACATATCCATCACCCAAAAGTTTCCTTGGGTGCCTTGGTAATCCCTTCAGCCTGCCCCTTTCTGCCTCCCATACCCAAGCGATTATCTGCTTTTTGTCACTGTATATTAGTTTGTATTTTTTAGAGTTTTACATGATTGGGATCATAAAGTACGTACTCCTTTTTTTTTTTTTTTTCTTGGTCTAGTTTCTTGCACCATGGCATAGTCTTTTACCTATTCTACCAATATTATTGTGCTTTAATTAGATACCATGTAGGAAACTGCAAGACCCATTAGGAGGCCATTGTAGTGGTCCAGGTGAGAAATGGAGGTTGGTACCAGGGTAGTTACCATTCAGATGATAGCTGCCATCAATTAGAGATCTGCTTTGGAGATAGAGCTAATCAGATCAACTGGGGGTGGGGGTTAGGGAGAGCTCGGAATCCAGAATTACTCCTGAGGAGTCTAGCATGAGCACGAGTGTGGTGAAATGGAGGAGATTCAGTGAAGAGCAGATATGTATGGCCTTTTCTGATTCATTCCTTCACTGGATGTCCACTGCTTTTTCAAAGCTATCATTATCATTGGTTGGTTTGAATCAGGATTTAATCCTCAGACAAAAACAGTATTTAAAGCACTTTAAGATATTTACAGGGTTGCTGGGCCTTCTCAGGAATGCTGTTAAATACAGGCTAGCTGCCATTGTCAAATTGAAAATAATGAATTTCAGTTTTCTCCTCAGGGGTTTGTTGTATCATTTGGACCAGGCAGGGAGAGAGAAAGTAGTACAGAGGCAAATCACATTTTCAAAAGCCAGTTTTAAAGGTGAGGTTCACTCCACTCTTTCTGTGGCTCCCAGAATGTTTTTGTGTTGGTTTTACCATTGAAAATATTCATGTTCTGCTAAGTCTAATGCTGTGATGACAACTTCTGCACGCACTGACTAGCTATGTGAATTTCATTGTAAAATAGGATAATCTGTCTTCCTTCTACAGGGTTATTAACATGTCAGCTATTTTATTAGAACTTGGACTTCCTTTGAGGGTTTGGCCTTTGAAAAATTGGGTAAAGTGATCTCTTTGATTTTGGAATTTTAGAAATTACATGCCACCTGGATTAATAAGTTTATGGGTACTTTTGGGAAACCTGAGTTAGACTTCATGAACTAATACTATATAATAGTAACAACAGAAACTGCACATTTATTATTTATTACGAAGTCCCTTTTATGCATTATCTTATTTAATCCCCACATCAATCCAATGAAATAGATACTGTTATCATCTCTATCATCTCCATTTTGCTGGGGAAGAACCTGGGATGTAGAAGGGTTACTTTATTAGGCCTAGGCTATTCTCAGAGTCAAGGTCAGAGCTGTGACTTGGACCCAGGCAGATTGTCTGACTGCAGAGCTCATGCTCTTCATTAATAGATAATACTTGAGGTGGATCTTACAAGATAAATAGAAGTTAAATGGATAGCGGGGACTGGCATATTATGCAAAAAGAATCTTGTGTCATTTCAGGGGACATAGGAACCTCATTGTCCTGGGGGGTGATGATGGGAAATAATGTTGATAGTGCTGGTAAGACCAGAAGGAGATAGGGCCTTAAAAAATACCTGTTTGGGTTATCCAGACCAGTTTTTTCATTGATAATTTAATGAGGTCTTTAAAAAGTCTTTTCAAAATCTTGACTAAGTGCAAGAGATCCCATTTCTATTTTCTCAGTTCCAAAGAGCTCAGGTGGGGAGCTTCTGAGCTAGCTGATCTCAGAAGCATTTTCTGATTTCAAACAACCTAGATTTTGCCAGCCAGGAGTAAATCCACTGTTCCCAACTTTTCTGCTCAGCTCTGATTCCCTTTAGTGTTAAAAGAATAGGCTTGTGGGCGCCTGGGTGGCTCAGTCTTTAAGCGTCTGCCTTCGGCTCAGGTCATGATCTCGGGGTCCTGGGATCGAGTCCCACATCGGGCTCCTGCTTGGCGGGAAGCCTGCTTCTCCCTCTCCCACTCCCCCTGCTTGTGTTCCCTCTCTCGCTGTGTCTCTCGCTGTCAAATAAATAAATAAAATCTTAAAAAAAAAAAAAAAAAGAATAGGCTTGTTAGTTTTATTTTTTTATTTTTTTATTTTTATTTTTTATTTTTTTTAAAGATTTTATTTATTTATTTGACAGCGAGAGACACAGCGAGAGAGGGAACACAAGCAGGGGGAGTGGGAGAGGGAGAAGCAGGCTCCCCACAGAGCAAGGAGCCCGATGCGGGGCTCGATCCCAGGACCCCAGGAACATGACCTGAGCCGAAGGCAGACGCTTAACAACTGAGCCACCCAGGCGCCCCAAGCTTGTTAGTTTTAAACTGAACAGTCTTTCCAGACCTGCCCTCACTCTGACAATGGTTGAAAGGCTAACAGTCGGCTAGCATCTGAATACCATTGCAGTGCTACCTAACTTATTTGATTCCTAAAAGGATGATGGTTATAAAAAGGAGAGTCTGTGATAAGGTGGTTAAGCCTTTTTCAGAGGCTAACTCTTATTTCCTGCTTTGAAAAATGTATTGTGCTATTTAGTAGTAAGAATTGATTATAATGAGGAGATGGTGAATGCAAAATAAAAGGTGCTTTTTGGCTTTAATAATCAGTGTTATCTCTGAGTGTCAGTGAAACAGAACCAATACATGCCAGATCATTTTAATTTTTATTGTACTAAATGTTTCTTTTTTTTCATTAAAAAAATGAATAGGTAGTTTGTGAATGTGGATTT